TACACCAAAGGACTGGGCGCCGCTTCTCCTCTTGAAAGCTAATTTTTCACTTTCTCTTGGTGTCTGACTTTGTACCAGTTTGATTCAGAGGACTCCCAGAGATTTCCTCTAACCTGTGACTCTGAGCCAGACTCACTCTGTGAAGCATGATGATAAAGGTTTGGGACAGTGCCTTGGGAGCCGAATTCATCCTGTGTGATGGGTTGAGTTCTGGTGTGGTAGAAAGAGTGGAGTGTATCTGGTTTCTGATCCCAGGTCTCCTGCTTTCTCTGTGAGTCTGAGCAAGGTATTTTTTTTATCTGAGTCTTGGTTTCCTTTACTGTAAAATAACTGTAAAATAACTTTTGAAATGGGCATTATAATGCCTGCTTCACTGAAGGGGGACAGTGAGAATTAGTTGGACTGTGAGAATTAAATGTGTATGGCCCCTCCCCTCCCCACTCCAGCCCAGGCCTGGCACATTACTAGTAGCTCAGAAATAGCCAGTTTCCCTTCAGCCAACCAAGAGTCAGGCTTTAGCAGAACAGAAATATTGAAAGAATGATCAGTTTAATATAATTTATTTATTACAGGATGAAAGGCGAGTCAGAAAAAAGAAAAAATCTCTCTTTATCCTGAGATTCAGCCTATGGAGTAGACCATCTAGAATTTGCTAGAAATCATTTAAGAAAGGAGAAGTCTTACTGGATATCTCGAGGAGATGTGGGTATCCTTACAGGCACTAAACAGATGGTCAGTTTCCAGAAAGGCTCAGTGAAGTGTTGAGCCTTTCTAGAATACCGCTTCAAAATATACACAGACACTAACCATCAATGGCTGAGGCTCACCCAGCTGGAAGCTTCCTTCTGATTCCACCCACCCTATAAAGAAAAAAAAGTGTGAGCTCTGCATTTGAGGTAGGGGGAGGGGAGAGGAAGGCAGGAGGACCGAACAGTCTGAAAATCAGAATTGTTCAAAGCCAGCACTAAGTAAAAGCACAGGGAACACAAAAGGTTACCTTTGGGTGCACTGTGCCCCGCATTTCCTGTAAAAGGGATCCAAAGGATTTATGAAGGTGAGTGGGAACCAGGTTCGGAGACTAGGATGCCAAAGGGAGCTCTAATTTATATGGCAATTGTGTGAGTTGCTTGCCATATTTTGGAAGGAAGTTTTATTCCAGAAAGGGCTAAAAAAAAAAAAAAAAAAAGGCATTAACTCCCCAGTGCAATAATAGAATTGGTATAGTGACTGTTTGAGAAGCCTTTTTCTCCTATATGCAAAGAAGCACTGAAGTGTAATAATCTCTCGTATGTGATGATAGTACATGGATATTATGTTGCATGTGGAGTAAGGGTTAATGCACAGATTCTGGAATGAGCCAGAACTGGTGACAAATTCTGCCTCTGCCATTTACTAGCTGTTTAACCTTGGGTAATTTACTTAACCTCTCTAATCTTTAATTTCCCTGTCCCTTAAAGGGGGGGGCGGTGATAGCACCTACTTTTTAGGTGGTTATGTGGATTAGTGAGACAGAGAATATGAAACACTTATCCTGGTGCTTAGCATGTAGAAAATACCATTATAGGAGAGTGTGATATTGCATGGTGTAGATTACAATTATTCTAGCCCATGGCTGGTTAGCTTGTGTGTGAGGACCCCAGTCAAGATGGTAGCTTTGACCTCAGTGTTGGCTCTGCCTCTGTCTGTGGCCCCAGGCTGCCATTATCTGTCTTTCATCACAGAGGAGACAAATATTTATGATTGTGAAGGGAATAGGGCAAATCCATCACGACTACAGGAAAAATCAACCCAAAGCGTCATCCGTCTATGGAGGGTGGCATTTTCCCATTACGTGTGGAAAGCAGCAGCCTGGCTGCTTAGACCAGAGTCCCACAGAGAGCTCCTACCTGGTGTTTAACCGACACATCACATGTAGGGTCTCAGTGTTTGATATACAATTGGCTGTTTTGTTTTAACATGTTTATTATCAATTCTAGTCCAAAACTAATTTGTTTCAACTCCAGGGCAATTGATGACATGGAGTACACCCTAACCCGGAAATTTTTTGCGTCTCAATGGTTATAAATACCTCCTTGCTATTGTATTTGTCGCGCTGTATGCAAATGGAGGTAGGAGTCCGAAAGCTCATTAGGCCAGGGACAGAGGCTTGGAGCATGGAGAGGACCCAGTGGAGCTAAAGCTGATAACGGTGGCCTTGTCCAGAATAGTGCCTGGGAGCTTTCTTATCTCCCTTTGGCAGGAGGTGCTGTGGGCTTCCTGTGCGAAATCAGGAGTGAACGCTGCTTTCCTCTTGTTGTTCGGCTTCCTCCCCCCTCAAGACGGTTCCCAGCACAGTGATTATCTTTGCATCTTCAAACATGGCACAATCTACTTCCTTAAGAGCTTGATGTATTCTTAAGGCTTAGGCAAATTCCCCTCCCCCTAAATCTCTTTTCAAGTGCTGTTATATAGTCAGGCTCCTAAATGACATTCTATTTTTATGGTTCCAATTACAAAGAGGGAAAAGGAAAAAAAAAACAAAACACAAAAAACAGTCCCCAAATTAGAAAATGGCCACAGACTGTCCTTTACACTGGGAGGACCTTGCCATGAGTCTACCGTATAGCTTCCATACTAGGGCTTTTGCCACCAGCGGCCACCCCTCGGGGGGGTGGGGGTGGTGGGGATCAGAGGCCAACAGCCCCTCATGAACTTGGGCAGCGGACTGCACTTCCCTCGGAAAATGCCTAGACTCATTGTACTCCAACATATTTCTTTGCCTTTCCTGCAGACCAAGCATATGCAATTAAGATCTCTGAGGCATCCGTTATCTTTTTCACTTCTTTGGGGGGAGAAAGAACACAATTAAAAGTGTCTTTTCTCGATATGAGAGAACTTCAGCTGTTTGACAAGGCCAAGTACACATGCACGTGTCCCATACAGGTGCGCACGTGTGTAATAAACCCCATCTACATGTAAGGCTTATGTGAGCTGGTATATTCATACGTGTCCTAAGCGTGTGTGAAGGATGGGAGGTCAAACGGAGGTTCAAGGTATGGATGGAACAGTCCAGAGAACAGACAACGAAAAACAGCAGAATGACTTAGGATTTTAATAGCATTACAATGTTTCAAGTGAAGGAGACAGAATATAATTTCTCTTGGGTTCATTTTCCTCTACTAATCAATAACAGTTTAGACTTTCACTTATTTTGCCTGATGACTGGAAAGAATATCTATAGAAATTGCATAAATTCCTTAAGGAATGGCCAGTCCTTATTATTCTTAGTTTAAATTTTATAATCTAACTGTAGAAGGGAGACATTTTGCCAACATTTGGGGAAATCTGATATATAGAGCGGGTACAATGAGGTGTCATAATGGCATTGTTGTTATCTTGGAAAATGTGCATTCTTTTAGAGATATGTGCTGAAGTATGTAAGGGTGACATGACATCTGAGATTTGCTTTTAAAATACATCACATAAGGATAATAAGGATAGACCAAACGGCTGTAGCAAAATCTGGATAACTGTTAAGTCTGGGTGATGGGTGTATGGACCTTTATTATGCTAGGGCTGTACTTACCGAGATGTTTGAAACTAAAGAGCAAAGAAAACAAATGAAAGCTCTTGCTAGAAACAGCATATCGGTCCCCATGCCTGTGTGTATATTAACAGGTGTTCATAGAGTGCCAATGACATGCTCGGCCCTTGCTGTGGTGTGAGGACAAAGTGTATAGTAGATGTAGCCCTGTTCCCTGGAGCCGCTGGCCCACTGGGGCCACTCAGAATGTGGGGAATGTTCTGGACCGGACATGATAGATCGGGGCAGGAGACCACCCAGCAAGACTGGAGTTCCTTCTCAACTCAAGGACCAGAGAGGGATAATCACACAACATCTTCCTGGTCATCACAATCCCATCTATCTTACCTTCGTCCTCGACTTACTTTATTCTCTTGCTGTCATCTTAGGTAAATCATGATGGCCATTGGCTGCCTAGGATCACCCACTCACTCTCTCTGGAAATTGGGCTGTGAAATTCCTCTTGGTTTGAAAATCCCCATAATCTGACCATGACAAATACACATGAGAGCCCAGAAGGCTCTCTGCTCACCACAAATTCTATGGAGGGAATGGACTATGAATGGCCGTGAGTGTCAGACAAGCATGCCTGGGCTTTAAAAAGTTCAGTACAGTTGCTGGAGCTTTGGGAGCAAAAAGGATTCCACTAAAAACCAGAACATTCAGAATTTGGTCTGGGAGCAACTTTGTAGGTGTTGAAATTAATAACTATTTCCACCAAAATTTGAGTAATAAACCATATGAAAACAGAAGCTTGATGAAAAGAATGGGTGTTTGAGAGAACATGCCAATTTCTCTCTTTAAAATGGTACTCTACCAGCTAGTTTTATATAATAAGAGATCTAGTGGACTTCTAGAAACAGAAAAGATCATTTTACAATTAAACACTTAAGGTCTGAGCAGTTAAGGGGCTTCTCATGATACCCCAAAACTTGGAAAGAAACAGAATGTAGTAACTGCTTCATGCTGTGTGTTTCCATATACACTTGATTAGCCCTGGAAAAAATTAGCTGTATAATGGAATATTCTGATTAAAAGCCGACTTTTTATAGATGTGAAATGCTATTATTTCCTCGAGATTTCCATTCATTAACATAACTTATCCCCCCACCTCGTGTTTGCATGTTTCCTCCACTAGGAACTAATTAAAATCTAGATATTGAATTTCCTAATTTTTACATTTTTACTTAGTATTTACCTTTAGAACAGGAAGGATATATGGAGATACACTGGTGTGGGCTGCTTTCAGAGCAAGCAAAATATATTTTCTATTTCTAAGTTGTGGAGATGACTATGCAGGGAAAAACCTAAGGAATAGAAGAAAGCGTGTCTTATTATCTTTGTTATCTCAGGACTTACCAGTGATTTTTATTTCACCTGTCACCGTGGACCATGCTACAAAGCAACATAATGATAAATTATTTTTTTTTTAAATAAGGTATGACTTTTGCTCCAATAATGAAGAGTCCCTAATCCTGGATCCTGACAGCAACCTAGGAAACAGGATTGAGAGCATCATTCAGCGGACAGCAGTAATAGAAGGAAAGAATAAGGTATTGTCTACAAAAATAAAGGCTGGCATATTTATTTTATTTTTCAAGATTTTATTTATTTGTGAGAGACAGCATGAAAAGGGGGAGGGGCAAAGGAAGAGGGAGGGAGAGAGAGAAGCAGACTCGATCCCAGGACCCCAAGATCATGATCGGAGCTTAGCCGACTAAGAGAGATGCTTAGCCGACTGAGCCACCCAGGTACTCCTGGGATATTTATTTTAAAAGCACACACTCTGCTTCCAGTTCTGGGTTCACTAGAACCAGAAGTGATTGAAACGCTCAAACAAAAATTAGGGAGAGAAGACAAGATCTGAGAGGTGTCTTCGTGGAGCAGTACCCTGAACTGTTCTCTCATGGCCCCCCAGTTCCCAAGGCTTGAGTACTGGGTCCTAATGGAAGAGGTGGAGCGGGCTTTCAGCCCTGGCTGAATCTCAGGGTCCTCCGCCAATTATTGCGCTTGAATCTCTGGAGTAGAGCTTGGGGTTCATGAACGTTCCCGGGGAGGGAACTTTCTAGCACGATCCCAGGACTGAGAATCTCTGTTATACTTAAAGTAGGGTGTCGATAAGCAAAAGCTAGTATAAGACTGAGGGTTCAACTGGAATGTTCTCCATCTCACAAAATAGCTTGTTTTCCCTCTGTCTTTGCAAGGGCAAAGCCTAGGTCAGGGTAGGCAAAACCCATACAGTGTATCAGGTTTCTGTGACCTAAGGAATACAAATCAAAAGCACAATGAGATCTCGCCTGACACCTGTTGGAATGGCCATTGTCAAAAAGACAAGAAGTCACAAGTACGGGCGAGGGTGTGGAGGGAAACTTTGTGTGCTGTTGGTGGGTTGTAAATTTATACAGCTATTATGAAAAACATGGAGGTTTTTGGAGGTTCCTCAAAAAACTAAAAGTAGAACTACCCTAGAACCCAGCAATTCTCCTTCTGAGTATATATCCAAAGAAAAGAAAAATACGAACTCAAAATTATCTGCACCTTCGTGTTCATAGCAGCACTATTTATAATAGCCAAGATACGGAAGCAACTTAAGTGCCCAGCAAATGAATGAATGATGGATGAATGAATGAATGGAGAATGTATGGTATATATACACACAATGTAATATGACTCAGTCACAAGAAAGAATGAAATCTTGCCATTTGTGACATGGATGGGCTTTAAGGGCATTATGTTAAGTGAAAGAAAGACAAATACCATATGATCTCACTTATATGTGGTATCTAAAAGAAACAAAACCCCAAGCTTATAGGTTACAGAGCACAGATTTGTGGTTGCCAAGAGGCAGGGGGTGTAAGGGCTGTGAAAAATAAGTGAAGGGCGTCAAAAAGTACAAAGTTTCAGTTACAAAATAACTAAGTCCTGGGGATTATTGTACAACATGGTGAATACAGTTAATAATACTGAATTGCATATATGAAAGTTTGCTAGGAAAATAGATCTTAATAGTTCTCATCATAGGAAAAAAATTTGCTTTACTATGTGTGATGACAGATATTAAATGGACTTATTGTGGTGACTGTATTGTAATATGTACAAATACTGAATCATTTATGCTGTCTCTACATTTGAAACTAACACAATGTTATATGTCAATTACACCTCAGTTCAAAAAGAAGAGACTTCTCATCAGAGGGAAAAAAGGGTTCGCTGACCTAATGGGGTCAAGTAGGCCTCTTTGCTAGTACTCCTTTCAGTGTTAAATAATTTTTATTGAGATATGACTGACATACAAAGAGCTGTACAAATTTAATGTGTACAGTTTAATAATGACTTTGGAGTTAAATATACACTCACGAAACCATCGACACAGTCAATGCTACAGACTTATCTATGACCTCCAAAAATGTCCTCCCGCTGAATGTAGGAATGTGTGAATGAATCCAGGATAACACATAGCAAAGGTATACAACACAGCATTCTTCACTACAAGTACTATGCTGAAAGTGGATCTCTAGGACTTACTCATTTAGCATCACTGAAACTTTGTACCCTTTGACCAATTTTGGAAGATTCAACTTAGCTTCTAGAAAAAGGTGCCAAGAACTGCGAAGCTCTGAGATTATACCCTGCTTTCAAGCTAACAGGTAGCCCTGTCCCAATTGTATGCTTGGTGGTTGAAGACCTGCTACTTACCAGTCAGATACAAGGACTTTATTACTCATAGCAAATCTCTCAGGCTTCATGTTAGCCCTGGGCCCCTTGCCTCCGAGTGCCTGGGTAGAAACTGTGTAGGCAGTGGATTCGCACAGCAGCTGGGGGACCCTGAACCTTGGGAACCCACATTTTTTTACAATGGGCGGCCTTTGGTGCCCCTCTTGTCTGCCATTCGTTCTCCGTTTCCCTGACCTCCACTGAGCCTCAGCTCATAGCTGATGCCTTGTGAACTGGACATACCTCGTGGACCTCAGACTTTTCTTTGGTTCAATTTGGGGAAAACACACTTGAAAAATCTCCTATTATCAGGAACGGGGTAGTGCTGCTTTAAAAAGTAAAAACGTTTCAACCCCTTGCCAAAATGTCTATTTATATATGCATATGTTGACTCCTGGTGGCTCGGCTCTTTAGTATAGGTGCTATCTACTGGAGTGTGGTTATGCTCATATCATCTGTGTATTCAGCTGTATTTTTTGCTTTTGGAGGCAACAAAGTGGATGGCATCATTCCCCCCATCCCCCATGTCGGATTGAACAATGATGACAGATAACATCTGAATTCCTCGTTCTGTAAAACTTCTTGACATAGGCTCATATCAACATCATTCTGGCCAGCCAGAGTGGCTATCTACCTTTTAAAGATAAGAAAATCAGGGGTGGGGCCCCTGGGTGGCTCAGTGGGTTAAAGCCTCTGCTTTCCGCTCAGGTCATGATCCCAGGGTCCTGGGATCGAGCCCCTCATCGGGCTCTCTGTTCGGCAAGGAGCCTGCTTTCCTTCTTCTCTCTCTCTGCCTGCCTCTCTGCCTACCTGTGATCTCTGTCAAATAAAAAAAAAAAAAAAGAAAATCAGGGGTGATGAGAGGAATTCAAAGCCACACAGCCTAAATGTGGCAGACGAAATACTCAAAGCAAAGTCTTCCTAGTCTCAAAGCCACAGCTCTACCAACTAGGAGTAGAGATTAAAGTGGTAATGATTTGCCTGAAAATATAAACAATCACTTGTCATGGATTTACGAAAAGTTTTTCTAACTACCGCAGTGGTTTACAACTCTTGCTCTCTAATACAAATGAACAGTAGTTTGAAACGTCACATGATAGGTAACCACTGGCGAGAGCAGTTCAATGAAATCCTTAGGAAAGAGGAAATTCTGTGAACTTGAGAGTTTAATTTGAGTGACAGTACATTTTTTTCTAGGAAAGGAAATGCCTCTCAGTAGAAGGCAAGTTAGTTGTCACAGAACACTAGAAAACTTCAAGATGCCACTAAATGTCTCAGTTTGTTTTACCTTCTCCTGACCACATCAGGGAGATGTACTGTTAATTGTTGTACATTAAAAAAGAATTTATGAACCTAATTCCAGTGGTAAGTTTTGATTCCATTCTGGCTTCCTAGCCCCAGAAATTACAATAGAAAAGAAAGTGGAAAATGAAAAAGGCAGGAGAGGTTTCGGATTAGCCTAAAACAGAAAGTAGCAACCTGACTCCGTACAGAATTACCTGGAAAGCACAGAGGGAGTGAAGTCACACAACCCGAGTGAGATAAGGAACTTCCTTGATTTTTTTTCCACACGGCTTGAAACGAGTTTATTGTCTTGTAATTTTGTAGTTATGCAAAGGTTTTAAATAGAGACCTCTAGACGTAGGGGGCAGGTATGTCGGCCTGCAGCCAGGAGCCCTGGGGTCCAGCTCTGCCATTTCTGTCTTGTGTAACCACCTGCAGATGAGTCCCTCTTTCTGAACCTGTCCCTCCTCCCAATGGTGGCGCTCATAATCCTTGTCCTCCCTCATTTGCCCATTCTCGTAAGCATGATTGTCATCTATGCCCTAATGCAGTTCCCAGGCTGATTGTGATCGAATGCAATGAAGACTATTTGTTTGGGGCGCCTCGGTGGCTCAGTGGTTTAAAGCCTCTGCCTTCGGCTCAGGTCATGATCCCGGGGTCCTGGAATCAAGCCCCGCATCGCATCGGGCTCTTTGCTCAGCAGGGAGCCTGCTTCCTCCAATCTCTCTGCCTACTTGTGATCTCTCTGTCAAATAAATAAATTATTTAAATCTTTAAAAAAAGGACTTTGTTTGATATCTGTCTGCATTGAAAAGCTTTTAATACTGTTTCTCAACAAAGTTGATATCTGTGTATATAATGTATATGTGACATAGCCTCTTTGAAGCTGGAGCTGTAATAGATTCTCCTTATTCATTTCAAAGCCTAAATTTATGTATTTATGTATTTATTTATTTATTTTTTTAAAGATTTTATTTTTTTATTTGACAGAGATCACAAGTAGGCAGAGAGGCAGGTAGAGAGAGAGGGTGAGGGAAGCAGGCTCCCCGCTGAGCAGAGAGCCCGATGTGGGGCTTGATCCCAGGACCCCGGGATCATGACCTGAGCTGAAAGCAGAGGCTTTAACCCACTGAGCCACCCAGGTGCCCCTCAAAGCCTAAATTTAGAAGCATTTACCACTTCTACAATTTGGGCATCTATTAATTTAACTGTGTACCTAGGGAAAAATCTATGATGATGACAGATGGGAGTTTGGCTATTTTAGAATTATTTACGGTGGTCATGCCTTTACAATTATTATTTATTTAAAAGATTTTATTTATTTATTTGACAGAGAGAGAGATCACAAGTAGGCAGAGAGGCAGACAGAGAGGGACAGTGGGAAGCAGGCTCCCTGCTGAGCAGAGAGCCTGATTCGGGGCTCCATCCCAGGACCCTGAGATCATAACCTGAGCAGAAGGCAGAGGCTTAACCCACTGAGCCACCCAGGCGCCCCATGCCTTTACAATTAAAACTGCTTTTCTTTTCTGTCCATCTTTAGAAAGTATATTAAAGTCCCAGCTTAGACTCTAAAGACTGTTTTAGCTACAGTTACATAGTTAGTCTGCACAGTGACACCCCTGCACAGATCAGGGGAACAGAGATCCCACTGGAGTCCCCGTTAGAGTCTAGGAATTTCCTTTTTTTTTTTTTTTTTTTTTTTTTGCTTTTGTTGTTTTTTGTTTAACTCATAGAAGGGAGCAGAGGACAATAAAATTTAGTTTCCTCATTGGCAAGTTTTGGCCTCGATTTGTGAAAAATGAGTCATCAATTGGAGTTGCTAATAGCAAATGTGGAGTTTTAGTATTCTTTAATGGCGTTGCCAGACTATTGGGTTTGTAGCTATGGAGTAGGAAGTAGAAGGAACCCTGGGTTAGAAAAAACACTCAGGAAATACATATTACAGCATTCATTCTGTGAGGCGGGAGAATTGTGACAATTTTAATGCTTTAGCAGCGATTCCATTGAAATCGTTCGGATGTTCCCTTGAGGAGTGTTACCATACGAGACCAATCCATGACAGAGGCCTTAAATCTAATGACAGAATTACAGCTTGTGTCTCATTTCCCACACTCCTCAATTTTTTCAAATTCTCACGTTCTATTTTCCCATCACTTGGCTCAAAAATGTGCCACTCGAGGTTAATTTTAGTTTCTTCCATGACCTTTATAGGTCTACTTTTATGTCTCCCTGACACACTTGAAAGGAAACGATATTAGAAACATCCCGAGATTAAAATCACGGGTCCATATTTAGACCTTTTAAAACTCATACTGGAAATTAGGCTGAATTACACATCATCCCCTCCATTCTCATCCATGAGGTTGAAACCACATTGTGGTAGGAAGTTACTAATGCTTAGGGAAAGGGAAGGAAGGAAGGGGTATGAATAACTTCCCAATTTACAGTACCTGACGACAGATTTCATCAGCGTCCCTGGATCATACAAAAGAACCCAGAGAATGACTTTCAGGGTCTATTTCTAATATCTAAATCCCTGGGGTCCTGGCAGGGCAAGTCAAGGCACCCCCGAAGTGTAGGTTCAGAGCTAAAAAACAACTATGGCAAATGAAAACTTCTTCGAGAACGAAGACAAGCAGCCATCCTGGAGAATTTCTTTTGGTACACCTTCTAAATGATTATAATTTCAAACACACGTAATGACTGAAATTCTTGGCACTTCCTCTTTTAAAGTATGAAGTTAATATTTGGTGTCCCAACTGTTGGGCTGTTTTCATTTTTTCACCCTTTGAAATGACAGTATTTGGTTACGAGCTCTGGAGAATGGATTTGTCCATTTTACTTGGAAGACTTCGGTGTTCAGCCTTGCTGTCCTATGAGAAGTTTTCTCCTGTCCCGAAAAACCACATTCACCTACAACTCACACTTGAGCTCCTTTCTCTGATCCTATAGTGTTTATACTTCAACTACCAAATAGATATCTTTTTTCATGAAAATATATTTTAGTTTCTAAGTTTAAAACATATGCTCTGGAAAAAGAAGAGCTCTAGAAATGTTTAGCGAAGTTTATCATAGATATTAATTTCCTCTTTTAAATTTCCTTCTTTAATTATGACTTTTTCATTCATCCATCATATTCTCAAAACTTATAACAATGTATCAGTTGAAAAATAGCTTACAGCTTATGTGAAGTAAATTAGAAACTAGTATTTCTGTACATACTAGCATTTTAGCTTATGTGACCCATCTCTTGCCAATTTCAGGATGATTCTTAAGAAAGAACTCAATGAGAAGAGTAGATGGCACTCTACCAGATGTGTGCCATCCAATCTGAAGAGTTTTAAAGCAAGAAGCAGTCTCATGTAGAAATCAAGGGTAATATACCTACCTCACAGGGCTATAGGAAGGAAGTCCCAGCTTAGACTATAATGACACTTTTACCTACAGTCACATAGTTAACCTGCCCAGCAACAGGTTAGATACGCCTCACACACTGTCTGGTGCATAGCATAGCAAGGGCTACCTAAAGGCACCCAGAAACAAAGAAATAATGTAAACTCTGATCACTGTCATTTTCTCGTTCAATTTTAGTAGAAACTTGGGAGAGGTGAGTTCTGGAGAAGGCTTGCCTCTGGGTAAGCTCTTAGTTTGGGAAGTGGTCATTCAAGCAAAATAAGAGAGATTCAAATGCATTCATCTCTCCATGGCTCACCTGTGACCTGGACCCCTTTCAGGTCTAGGTATGTTAATTTCATTCTCTGATTATACAAAAGTTCTGAACTCTCCCAGCTGTTGGAATCATCCCAGAATGCCTGCAGAAGTCTTAGCTGTGGCAGTTGTCCATATCTGAATTGACTTTCCCTTACCATGGAGCCCAGTGCTGGTGCTTACTTGCTTTGAGTCCAGTGAAATCAAAGCAGTTTTAACAGAAATGCAGATGCCAGACTCTTGGGTGCCTCAGAGGGTTAAGCGTCTGCCTTCAGCATAGGTCATAATCTCAGGGTCCTGGGATCGAGTCCCGCATCAGGCTCCCTAGGAGCCTGCTTCTCTCTCTTCCACTCTCCCTGTGTGTGCTCTCTCACTCTCACTCTCTCTCTCTCTCTGTCAAATAAATACATAAAATCTTTAAAAACAAAACAGAAAGAAATGCAGATGCAACTTTCAGATTCAAGCAGTAGTTGTCCCTCATGTCAAAATCCTCCGGAGAAACAGAAATGCGTTTCTCACTTATTTACTGAGCAAAAAAATCGAAGAATGTAGATAAGATTCTGTTGAGACCCCTGAGGATAAACATGGACGAGCTGACGTCATAAGAAAAGCAGTGCTTGAGCTGGGGGCCTTCATGGGTGTGCCTTGGGTCTGAGCTTGTTGCATACTGCTTCCAAGCATCTGAACTCAAGCTTGCAGAGACCAAATAAAGAAGTCAGAGTCTGACTTGATGGTCCAAATTGTCCCAGCGGTGATGAGCTAACACTTCCTTTCACATGGTTCCCTACAAGCTTCTCTTCTAACTACTACCACGGCTCTTAAGCGGTAGGTGCAATAATTGAAAGAAATATTCTGGCTAGCATTTCCTTGTATTTCCCACCTCTCATAAAAATGATTAATTAACATAGGGAAAGAGAGCCCCGAGGTCTTCCATGATCTCCTCTATTGGTCATTTGCCTCCACGTGTGTTTTTCTCTGCAAAAGAGAGAATAATACGTATTTGATCTTTAAGCGGGAAAGTCTTCTCTGTCAGCTTAAAGTAGTCCTCCAAGGACTATTCAAGGTTAAGAATAGGGATTGTGTCACACTCACCATCTCTGTTTCCCCTACAACATCTGCTCAGTGCCTTGATACACGCTCAATAAATGTCTGCTAAGTTGAATGAAACTTGTCACATATTGCAGACATTTCATTTCCGGTAATTTCAATAACTCAGGACAAATGAGAAGATGCAATTAAACAGATCCAAGAAACACAAGAGGAAATAATCATGTAATGTGCATGATACCATAGTGAAAATTACAGAGAATTTGGAGAAATAAGCTTGTTGGCTGAAAAAGTGAGGATTATATTCTTCAGTGTTCTTGATCTGCAGATTAAAGATAAATCATTTACTGGCTGGGATATGAGAACATAAGTAAAGGGCTTAATTAGCCCATTACTTAACAACTCAGAAAAATGCTGGGACCCTTTGTAGAATCCAGGTTCATCCTCTTAGGAAGCCGACTGTCACATTTCCACCTATTATTTTGTTCGCCTGTAAGGCACTTGATCTAATTCGGCTTCAGTTAGGACTCCCCATTGGTCTAGAAGCATCAGCAAGCCTCTCTAAGTTCAAAGCCAATGACCGGTTACTTGTGTTCTAGGAGATGAGCGGCAATAGTTTATAAAGTAATGGGGTATGCTTTACAAAATAAGAGAAACATAACTCCCCTTTTCATTCATTTCATAGAAAGGATGCATTGCACTTTTGCAAGGCTGGACTAAATTTTAAAACTTGCAACAACCTGTTTCATTTTACTGATTTTTATCTTTACAAGAAGACAGCAGAGCGAGTCTTCACACCGTACAGATTTGTGTTTCATTATTCTCTGAGACATCCCAGTTTAGAAAGTGTTTTCCAGCTCACACAAATGTGACCACTAGTGTTTCTTCAAGGGCTCATGTGTCAAATAGCAGCACGAAAATCCTGTGTCTCCGTTTTCTACATTGGGAATTGGCAGACTGAGAGATGAAGTCATTCACAAACACACAGGACAGCCTTAGCTTTCCAGAGCTTCAGCACCTTAGGAACTGTCGTGCCCTATTCTTTGAGTACATAAAAGAAATGGCCCGGCCAACCTTTCTCTTCTGTCCTTACTCGCTTAACACACCCATTACAGAAGCAAACAGCAAAGAAACCTGTTACCCAGTGGCTTCCCTGGTCTCAGGTCATCCAAACAAAAGGGAAGGCCTCAGCCTCACCTGTTCCTCTCATTGACGTGGAACCGACCACCTCACAGAGCAGGACGTGCAGTCCCGCATCTCAGCTTCAGGTCTGTAATTGTTACGCCAGCAGCACGAGATAAATAAGCCTGAAACCCTCATACGCGTCGGATGTCATAGCCCCCGGTCTCCTGAGGACCTGCTTTCCTGTTATTTTTCCATTCTTGCTGGGGCTCGGCAAAGGGAGCGCCTTCTGGTAACCGCCATGCGTGCAGCACTCCCCTTGTTGAATGAATGGAACAGCTGAATCACTCCGACCCTTAGAAGACTCTTCGGGGTGTTCCAGTAGCTCTCCACTCCAGCTAAAGTTTCCTTTTCTTTTACAGACGGCTAGCACCTTGGTTGTGGCTGACTCTAGAATTTCTGGAATCTACAGTTGCATGGCTTCCAATAAAGTAGGGACTGTGGAAAGAAACATAAGCTTTTATGTCACAGGTAAGCCGTATATCCTGTACTCCCGAAGAGAGCCCGGTGACCTCGCCGTCCTTTCAGTTCTGATTGTCCTTAGTGCACTTAGGGCCGGAGGGATTTTTTTTTTTTTTTTTTAATCCCACAGAATTGTTAAACTTTGAGCACCTTCATCCTTGCTCTCAAGAATAGTATTCTACAGTATTACCGGATCTCCGAACGAGTTCTTTCTCTGAGGTCCCGTTTAGAGCTAGGTGTGTATGTCTCCCTCCCAGGCTGGATCGTGAATTTAGGCTCTTGTCATGTTCATTTTTGAGCTCCTTTCAGTACCTGGCACAGGGTCTGGGACGTACAGTTGTTTGGTAACAATCAAGGGCACCAAACCTGTGATGATATGTTTTGGGTTTTGAAGCTGAGAAGCTAATTGTCTCACAACTTAAGTCATTTCTACTTTTGAGGAATGAGGCTCTTCTATAGAAATCTGAAACGGAGTTTGTTGACAGTAATTAATGTGCTGGGGTTTTGGGTAGCATTTACCCTTTTTTTTTTTAGCCTGAAATATGATGGTCTCTGCAAATCTTAAAACTTCCAAGGTACACAAATGGCACTCCCTAGGTCCCTCCGCGGGTACAGGAAGGAAGTAAGTAGCTCAAAGTATAAAAACAATTGCCTGGCTCCGCACTCCCCCAATTTTCTGAGGAAACCCGGGCAGTTTGCCAGCTTTCTGGAAACTTCGCACTGCATGGGGCAGGCTGCAGCAGTTGCCTAGAATTCTCCAGAAAGAAATAGGTAGGTCTGATTGTATGAGACATAGGGGTTGTCAGATCGCAGGGAGCCTTCCGGCAAGTTAGCCAATCCTCAGAGAAGCTGCGTCGTGGGAGATCTCCTGAGGTAGATTCTCACGGAATGTCAGAGCTGGAAGAGACTGGAGAGGCTATTCAACAGGACAGCCCTTTGCAAATGAGGAAAAGGGGTTTGGAGATGTGCAAAGGGACATGGCAGAGCCACCAGAGACCAAGTCATCCCCTGTCCTTTTACATCTGAGGAGTGGAAGGGAGATCATCTCTGCATCCCTTCCAAGTAGGAAAAGTCCTTTATTTAGGGGAGGATTTCGAGAGCAATTTCACACATACTGGTTCTGTAACCCTGAGATCTCAGGTGATTTAGATTAATTAGGAACAAAGGCTTTTACTGTCCTTTTTATTTGGTTGCAAGCAAGTTCCTATCCAAATCCATAGTCACTATGTATGATTGCAAATATAAAAGACATGTTCAGAAGATTCCCGTTCTGAACATTAAGCAAGTTTCAAGTTTAATGAGCACTAACTGTGAAGTTAGAACAGTTCAACTCTGCACTGAGCCCTTGAACGGATTACCACTGATGCCCTGTCTTTATAAGAAGACAGTTTTAACATGAAAAAGAAGTGTTATCTGTACCCTAATATCAAAAGGCATATGCAGAAGTAATGTGGCAGATGAATTTACCAACACCAAGCCAATGCTGTCCAATGGAAATAAAAGCCACAAATGTGATATAAAATTTTTTAGCAAAAACTGTATTTAAAAAAATAAAAATTAATTTTATTTAACCCAGTATATCCAAAATACCATTTCACCACGCAGTCAGTGTTTTTAAAGTATTACCCTGCATCTGTTTTTAAATTTTAAATTAATTGAAATAAAATTCATCGAATAAAATTCAGTTCTTCAGTCACATTAGCCACATCTTAAGTGCTCAGTAGCCACACATGGCCAGTGGAGAGTATGTATAGAGCGGAGCTCCAAGTCTCTGAGAAGGAAGGGCTGAGGTGGTCCTGGGGGAGGAAGGCATAAAATTGGAACAGGTCAAAAGAAGAAGACAGGCTTGCCTTGACATTTTCAGAGCCAAAGCAAGAGTACCTTTGGAGGCCCACAGGCTCTACATCCAACCACCTCACAAATTCTAAATGAAACAAACAAGCTGTGATGTTTCAGCTTCTCATGGGCAAAAATAACTCCATGATGACCTGAGGTGAGATGCAAATTTAGAATTTGGGGACTACTCATAGCTCCACAACAGAAAGTGACAATGTCTGGAGGTACAGAAGGAACACCCCACCCCCCACCACCGTCTTCTCCTTTGACTCCTGGCTCTGTCCCACTACTGCACCTGGGTGTATGGTCTCCACAGCCCACATATCCAAGTGCTGCCCACACCCCTGACTGATAGTCTTCCCCGAGATCTAGAAGTGTGCACACGGACGGGTGATCTGACCTCAGGAGGACAAACCTAGGGAAGAGGTCTTTGACAGTCTAGAAACAGACTGAGGATCACCTTTACAGGGAATTGTGGCATCTCAAGCAAGATATGGAAGTGGGGGTGGCATGCTTTCTTGACCCCACAGACTCTATGCTGTGAGGAGGGAGATAGCTGGAATAGAGCCTTTAGATGGGTCTGCTTGCCTGGGTCTGAAGGGAGTACTGGAAGTGGAGGTACCAAGAGTAGAGGGGGATGCTGTGCTCATTTCCTTATTATTCAGAGACCCCAAGAAAGGTGAATTGATGCCCAGCCTTAATTGCAACACCAATACCTAGCCTACCCCCACTGAGCTTTGCATTTGCTGCGTGTCTGTGTGCGGCGGTATTACTGACAAAGCTGATCACCTGTTCAGTGCAGACAGAGATGCCCTCCTACCTCCTACCACACGGTACAATGTATAACCATGAGATGGTTGAAACTGTTCCTAGATATCAAGACTTGTCCATAGAAAGGAACTATGAGAATTCAATTCAAACATGCATAATCGAGGCTTACAATGCTTTTCCTCTAGAAATTCAAGAGCTTAACCTTACAATGAAATGGAACGTAATTGCTCCAAATTCTTTTCTGCCAATCCTGAAAAGGTCAAGTTTTTGGTAATCATACATTAATTTGTTTACGTGTATTACCTTTTTAACGAATGACTACCTTTTTTTCACTTAAATCATTGTCATGAGATTTATTCTCACTGGAGATAAAACTAGATAGTCTTAGGGATGTTGCTCCTTACGTTTGTGTTTTCTGGAAAGTGAATGTACGTTTACTCGGTGTTTATGCTTGACCTTGTGCAAGGACTGCTTTGAGAGATCTAAGATTCAACTGTTCTAAACCAAAAGATCTAGATTTGGATCCTTATTGATCTTCATGTCATGCATGTTGCCCCTTCCTTAAAATACAACAACAGCTCACATAGGTTGTCTTCCAAACTGATGTAACCGAGTTAGCGGTGGCCTTAAGAATTCTCCACTGCTTCTACTCTCAACTTTGGTATTCGCTTGTAAACAGTATCTACTTAAAACAAGCAAAACTTTCTAGTAAGCACTCACCTCTTTAGAGAATGTTATTTCTGTTCTTCAGTAAAAGGAAAGCCTTCTTTATTACCACCTGACAAATGAGACCCCTCTCAGCCTATTGATTTCTATGCTTGTCTGTTTCATGAACTTAATTCACATGGTTTGATCTAACCAAGCCAATATGCCCCCCCAGTATATGCACCTGTGTAAGTAGATTACTCCTCCCCCCAACCCTAAGTTGAATGTCTCTTCTGAGCAAAGAGGATTCTTCTCCATGATACCCAGTAAGATGCTGTGAATGTCTGCGCGTTAAGAGGATGAGTGTTGGTAGGCGCTGGTGAGGATTGTGTTAAATCTGCCCAGATACTTAAGTGTGGGAAGATTTCTTACTTTCACTTTGTTAGAAGGCAATTCTTTGGGTCTGTTTTTGTACTCAGGCTGTTAAAACAAAACAAAACAAAACAAAACACATGAATTAGAAGGAAAACTCCCTCTGGATTCATTAACTAGTGTTAGGGCATTTTATTTATCATCTTCTACGGCTCCAAAGAGAAGGCCAAAGGGGTTATCCTGAGAAATGGACAAGCATTCTAAGAGGCCGTCCAGGAACACGAACCAAGTCAACTTCACTGACAGTGTCCCCCATATGAGAAGCAGACCTCAAAATCCAGTTGGTTCTTTTCTTTTCCTATGTGTGTGTGTTTGCTGTTCCCTAGCCCTCCTCATGACCATGGGTGTGTTAGCAATTACCGACGGTGAAACAGGAACAGCACTGCCTTATCTCCCTGGTTTCCCAGTGTCACTAAATGCATTTTATTTTGAGATTCCTGGTGGTGCTTGGCAAAGATAAACAAAATCTTCCATCAGGAAACCTGTGAGCTATTTCCACAGGAAGTTTCAAATCACTAAAGTAAATAGAAACTCTACATGATCTCAATGGTGTTACTTGGGCTCGCTTGGGTTCTAATCACCAGGACGGGACCTCAAAACAAATGAAAAGTTTGTGGATGGTCTTTGAAGAAATGATTTGACTGCAGTCAGTGCACAATACTTCGGGTATCTGTGTAAAAGTTGACGGCTGAGGTTTTACTCTGCAGGCTTGGAAAAGGTCCCAAATATAAAAAGATGCTGAATTAGAGGGGCTATTTCTGACACCTTATTGTTATGTTAAAAATGACTGTCAGCGGCTTCTGCATCTTCTGGCACATTCTTAGATATTCATGTTAAAAGCAGGAAAACCTCTGCTGGTCTCCTCTCTCTCCAGCCACTCAGGGCTTCATAAGCCGCTGCTACCCCCTGCTCTCAGGTTTCAAATGAATACTTTGGCATTTCTTCAGACGTGACACTTTATAATAAAGCCAAAGCCCAGAAAAATCAGAAAAACAAGCAAAGTCAGATTTAGGAAAGAGTTGATATGATATCTAATTTTGGACTATTGTCCCCTTAAGGTTTAAAGGTTTCTTTATAGCTTTGTGTGCAACGGATAATAATAATAATAGCAGAACATAGCGCTTTTCATCTTCAAAGTACTTTGTAAAATGTTGGCCCAAATTCTTTGCTCAAATACAGATACGCCACTAAGTAACAAGCAATGGGAGGGTTTTGGGAGCAGGTCAGTTCGGGGCCAGCAACCAATTTTTTTTTTTTTTTTCTTAATCCTCTGGGGAAATGGTCCAAAATGAGACTAGGGAACTCTGAGTACAAAAGCTAAGTGACAAGTCCAGAATAAGAAAGCTGAGGAGGAGAGCTCATGAGGTGTTGCTGGAGATGGCGATGAAGGTTAGCTGGGGATTGACAAGAGACAAATGGCTTTTTTTTTTTTTTAAGACTTTATTTGTCAGAGAGAGAGAGAGAGCACAAGTAGAGAGAGTGGCAGGCAGAGGGAGAAGTAGGCTCCCCGCTGAGCAGGGAGCCCAGTGTGGGACTCAATTCCAGGACCCTGGGATCATGACCTGAGCCGAAGGCAGATGCTTAACCGACAGAACCACCCAGGTGTCCCTACAAATGGCTTTTAATGGCATATTCACTTTCTGAAAACCTTTACTGTTTTTGAGAGGAAGAGTGATTTTTTTTTTTAAAGATTTTATTTATTTGACAGAGAGAGATCACAAGTAGAGAGAGAGAGAGAGAGAGAGAGAGAGGAGGAAGCAGGCTCCCCGCCTAGCAGAGAGCTCGATGTGGGACTCGATCCCAAGACCCTGAGATCATGACCTGAGTTGAAGGCAGAGGCTTAACCCACTGAGCCACCCAGGTAGCCCCGGAAAAGTGATTTTTTTAAAAATTGTTCTTCCCCTCCCCCATCACCTCCACTTCTGAAATCAGGCAACTCTTTCAGATTCGTTGGCTGCCTGTTGTTCTTTGATGTCTGAGTAGAATGATCTCCGTGAAGGGGGACCTAAGCAAGTACTGTGGCTCATTTCTACACACTGTGCCCACCAAGAGCAGGCAAGGTGATGGCACAGTAGCAGGCAGGGATACTGTCTGTCCAGTGGTTGGAAACTAGGGAAATCAGGTTTCTGTTTTTTTGTGGTTTTTTTTTTCCACTGGAGAAATTTAGGATTAAAGTGGTAGCAACTGGCAGGACTGAAGTCTCCTACCGTGTACTTGGGACTTCCTCTTCTCACCTGGTCACAGCGTATTTTGGATAAGTCTGACCGTAACACCACCCTTGGTTTTTAGTACAGATCGCTCTCTTAGGACTTCCCTATTTCGCCCGCTCACCCACCAGTAGAAGTTCCAGTTGTATTACAGGAATGGGGAATGTGGCTGTCACCCCGAGATGTAAAACAAATTGCGCTTTGAAAAGGCACTGGGGCAACCAGGGAAAAATGTGCCCTCCTAATAACCAGCCTGCTTAGTACCTGCTGCTTCGCTTCTGGCAAGACGGAATTAGTTGGTTCCTACCTGGGTTTGATCGGTTCCCCTAACAGGAAAAGAGAAGTATTCACCCTTTTAATGCTGATACTGAGAGAATGTGTGTCAGAGCGGTTCTTAAGATCTGAGACGATCTCCAGAGGAGACACTGATTTTTCTATGAACTGAAGTTCTCTGTTCTTATTTTATAGACGTGCCAAATGGATTTCATGTTAACTTGGAAAAAATGCCTACAGAAGGAGAGGACCTGAAACTGTCTTGCACAGTTAACAAGTTCTTATATAGAGACATTACTTGGATCTTGCTGCGGACAGTTAAAAACCGAACAATGCACCACAGCATCAGCAAGCAGAAAATGGCCATCACGAAAGAGAACTCCATCACGCTCAATATCACCATCAAGAACGTTTCCCTGGAAGATTCAGGCACCTATGCCTGCAGAGCCAGGAACATATACACAGGGGAAGAAATCCTTCAGAAGAAAGAAGTTACAATTAGAGGTGAGCACTGCAACAAAAAGGCTGTTTTCTCTCGGATCTCCAAATTTAAAAGCACAAGGAATGATTGTACCACACAAAATAATGTAAAACATTAAAGGACTCATTAAAAAGTAACAGTTGTCTCATATCATCTTGATTTATTGTCACTGTTGCTAACTTTCCGGCTCAGAGGAGATGCTCCTCCCAAAATGAATTTGGAGATGATAGGAGTGATAATGAGCTCCCGAGGTCCCAGCTCTGGGCTCCCCACTCGGGCTGAGGGCTCTGCTCTCTGGGGCCGACTTGGTGCGCCTTTGGATTTGGAGGATCCCTGCAGTGCATTCTCTGTTGTTCTGCTCTTTGCTGTCTTCTCCTGCCTGATAGACAACAACTTGGGACTGATCCTTTCCTCCCACTTTGATGCCAACCTCTCTGTGTTTTTAAGTTTCGAAGCTACGCAAACTGAATAATTTAAACCAATGCTGGTTTCTGCCAAAGATGGACATGAATAAGTTAATTTGCCAGCTCAGAACGAGTACAGTTGAATTTGAGACTCTTACTGGACCTCTGCCTGGTTTTATTTTGTACTATTTCATCTGCTCTCGATTTGTAAATAGCACCTGGAAGCAAGTGATAATGCTTATTTATTTGAAAATGCTTTTTTTTTTTTTACATTAAGCGCATTAATCTTAGACTGGAGCTTCTAAAATGGGCCCCAGGAGTGCAAGATGTTGGTGTAATCCAGAGGTAATTAAAGCTTTAGCACAGTATGAATTCAGAATGCCCACCTGGGTCAAGGTCACATCCTGGCTCTGTGCACTCTGGGTAGTCAGCCGACTAGCCAGGGCAGGCTTCCCCCTCACCGTCTCTGAGTGGACAATCTAGCTACTGACCGCATCCCCAAAAATGGACATCATGCCTTCATCTTACTTAGATATGTCCCCTGGTTGTTCTTTTAAAGAACCCTCTCCTATCTAATTGACAGCATTCAAAGACATACATACCACAATCAGGTCATCAAAGAAATCAAGGCTCTTGTGACCCAGTTGAATGCATTCTTCTAAATGTAAATCTAGGATTTGGCCATTTAAAAAAAAAAAAAGTCCACTTTCTTAATGGGATTTTTATGGGAATTAAAAAATGGCAAAACTACAGAAGCAGAATTCAGAGCCTTTAAAAAACCCACCTCATTTCCAATCAGGAGAGATGGAAATCTCCTCTCTCGAGCTTGTGTCTGAAGGGAAAGTGACTTTTTCACCAATTTACTATGCATTGTTCTGTTGTTTTCATTTATGAATGATCATTATTTGTGCCTTGAGTGAACTATTGGAAAACAAGCCACAGTGACCGAAATAGCCATGGCTGAGAACACAGTGGCCGGGCAGCCCGATAGAAGGTGACAATATGACAACTTCTCAGGCTTGGGAACTCACCAGACTGTTTCCTCCTCTAGGTAACAGCCGCTGTCCCACGCTAAACTTGTCTTTCACGTGGGAATTGCTTTTGTCAAGTGTGAAAGAGTAAACAATAGCGTTTCCCCGGAATGCCAGTTTTATGGCGCCCCAAATGCTCTGAAAACAATTAGTAACCTGGAAGTTGTCAGCCCAGAGGAAAGAATAATCAATTGTATCTGGAAATGTTACCTATGGCTCTTTTGCCTGGCGTCTTTGTTCATTCTAAGCCAGCATGTTCCTTCAGGAAACAATGCCTTGGTGCCACAGATCGTGGGGACTCCATTTTCACTAAAGCCGAAAAAGCAAATGGGATGGTTGAAGGGTTGCTTCTGAAAAGATGGTGATGCAGACACGCAGAAGATATCATTGCCTTCCCCCTTAAAACCTCGCCTGCACTTTTGCAGGGAGGGGAAGGGTGTTAGTATTCCCAGGGGAGGATTTTAAGTACTTCCAAGAGATGATTTTAAGAATTCCACAGAGTAATTTTTTGCTGTGTAATTCATCTCTCCAGAGAGTTTCAAAAAGAAAAATCTTTTGGGAGGGTTCTGTTTTGTTGTGGTCACTCTTTGGGGTTTGGAGGAAAGGGAGGATCATGCGGGGAAAAAAGAGAGGAAGAAGAGCCTGATATGGAGAATGACAGAATTGGAGTAGAGGGCATGAGGCTGGTTCCTCAGCCCCCAGTCCAAGTGAAGAAGAGAAACTATGTATTTAGGAGACCTGGCAGATCCTTGGGGCCATAACACTAAAAGCTGAAAGAAGAACCCGGTAGGGAGCTATCTTTGGCTATTGATAACCAGCAGAAATATTCTGTTAATTCTGATTTTCTCCATTTGAAGGGATCAGCTCCACTTTGTTAAGTTTGGGAAAGCAGCTACCTATTTCCATCAAATAACTTGGGGTTAATAATAAGGGTTCAATGTACTTTTCTTACCTAAAATGTCAAAACAGGCTATGAAGTACAAAGGGGAATTGATACAATGATTCCTTGGTTGATCAGTCATTGAGAAACCAGTCAAAAATGAGATAGTTCGCGTAGGAGAACTTTTTTTTTTTTTCTTCCAGAAATGGGTACAAGGAAAAATATAATACTGTGTGTTTTAGACATGTTTATATGAACTTTGTATTTAATTGAGAGTCCTATGTTTATTCTGCAGTCTTTTTGCTGCTTCTCTTGTCTGAAGTTTGTCTAGGACCGATAGGGTCTTTGGGAGTTCTCAGTATATTTCTGTTAAACCATTCTCCTTTCATATAAGTGTTTGCTAGTACACCTGTCAGGGAGGTCAAATGCTGTCTTTGTTGATGATGCTGTAGTTTGTAGCTATGAAAATAATTTGGGGTGTTGTAGGCCCTATATTCAGGCTTTCTTTTTATAATAAGGCCCGTGGGCAATGATTGATCATTTTATCATATTTAGTGCATGGGAAATAGTCACTGTGGTAGGGAAAGCTCTTAAAATATAACTCCATGAACTGTGTCTGTGTTTTAAACGAGATATGTCGAATTTGGCTCGCCACTTTAATAGACATTACATGGGAAGATGACACTGTTCTTCATTATCTGGTCCTGTTGCACTGATGCTTTTGGAGTCTTTACTGTGTAAAAAATGTCAAGATTGTAACAATCAAGCTTGTGAAAAGTTATCAGGATTCAAGATTTTGATACCTGGCTGCATTTGCAATTAGGAAACACCATTTGACAGACTGCACAGAAGGCAACCAGAAATGTTGAAATGGTTCTGCCTGGTCATGGGGTGGGGTGCAGAACAGAGCAGAAAGATACATGGACAGAAGGCAAAAGAGCCGTCGTGATCACTCATTCCACGCTCTGAAGGGTTTCTGAATCAGGGCCCTCCTTTCAATGCTCTTTTTAGCTTCCGATTTCCTTTTGTATAAAACGATGAAAGAGCTAGGGATGCGCTCTGGAAATCAAAAATTTAATGAGAAAGCCGTTCCTCCGTGAAAGGTATAGGATACTATACTTTTTAACCTGAGATTTCGGAATTGCTCGAATGAATGCTAATCCTGAGAGTTTCCCTGCAGGAATAAAAAGAGAAAGGTTTGGGGCGTCGGCAGCAACCCTGCGGGGACACAGGGTCAAGCCACTGCACTGTGTCACCTCTCCTAGCCTTGTAATCGCTCCTAAGCTGCTTTCACAGTGTTAGTACACTAAGATGAGGAAATCCGCAGTGGTCGGAGACAGCTCAGACTGTGTCATTGAAGCCAGTGGCACAGAATGTGTAAGTCATGCCAAACGCCTTTTGATTTCTGTTCCAGGATGCGCAACAGGAGGGGGTGAAGACGATGACTCGGGAGGGTGGGAAAGACGTTAGGAGTTGTCTTTATTCTTTTCCCTTGGAAGCTCCAGCTGCCAATCCAGCACTCGCCTAACTAGAATGTATCCACATCAGCAGGACTGACTACTTCGTTAAATAGAGACACTGTACTCAACTGGGGCCTTTGGGGGTACTGCTGTTCCGATGTGGGATTTTAATGTTGTAATGTATTGCATCCTAATGTATGAAATTCATTTTGTTGTACTATATTGGTTGGCATTTTATTAAAATAAATTGTATTGTATCATATTTGTATGTTTTAAGAGAAAATAATATAAAATACAATATTTGTACTATTATATAGTGCAAAAACTACAAACATATGCCTCTGCCTCTTGAATTAATCCTTTGGTTGCTTGCACTGGGGAAGGGAATGGAAGAAGGAAATAATCAATAAAGCTTGCAAAGTTCAAGAAATTCTCCTGTTTGGTCTGCTGCCTCACACCTTAGGTGACTACGGAGAGCTGAGTCACACAGACACGGCCTCACAAACACATCAAGAAAAATACCTGCAAAATTACATTAAGCTCATGGCTCTAATAGGATATCTTTATGTAAAAATTCACTCTAAGCCTCCGTCCAAAAATCATGGTTTTCCTGTTTCATTCCTCGTAGAGGATGCAACATCCTTAGGTCTCAGAAAAGCTGCTTTCACAGAAAAGAGAACTCATTGGCCAGGCGAAACCTGTGCTACCGAATCCTATAGCATTTTGTCCTCTATTTTACTGTGTGTTCTAACAAACGTCAGTACATTAGAACTTCCTAGAGATGACGCAGGTTACACAGAGAAGAAACACTGAGGGGGCAAAATAGGAATGAAAACGTATGGTGGAGTTTTGCTGTTTATATCTGTGAAGTGTTTCTGTGCATGGCTAAGAAGGGAACACAGGTGACGAGGATTAACCATCCCCTTTCTTTATTCACTAGATCAGGAAGCGCCACACCTTCTGCGAAACCTCAGTGACCACACGGTGGCCATCAGCAGCTCCACTACCCTAGACTGTCACGCTACCGGCGTCCCAGAGCCTCAGATAACCTGGTTTAAAAACAACCACAAAATCCAGCAAGAACCGGGTAAGAGAGCTTGTTTTCCTTGACTTCCTCCGTCTCATCATCCTCTCCTTCCCTCCACCTTCCTCTCCCCTGCCTCTAGGCAGGAGAGCACTGGTTCATGCTGAGAGCAAATTGAGCCCATTCTTCTGCACCTTGCTGAAAGATCCATACGGAATCTGCTTTAAAGGGTGCCTTGGTAAAGAGATGCTAATAGCCCCTGAGACGTGTCTGTTCAACTTGACAACAGGGAAAGTGAGGAGTGCGCTCCTTGGTTTGAGGTGTGGCAGAACTTTGAACAGCTGGTATAGACAGGAAGTCCAGAGTTATTTTATAATCTTTTTAATGCACTTATTATCAATTTTCATGATTTGGTAAAAAGAATATTTTAAATGAGAGAATACAGGCTTAAACACAAAACAAAATGAAACAAAACCAGTGAAACTAATGGTCACGTGTTAATTTTCTTTCAAGAAAAAATACATCTAAGAACAACTAGACTTAAATCAGTAAGTATCAATGCTCTCTGTTGCCTGCTTCATGATTTTGTTATGAAGATTAGAATGAACTTCTTTATAATCTTGCTGAATAATCCCATTTACATGAAAAATTAAAGTGTACCACTTATTCGCAATATCCCAACAACATAAATCAAACAACTACCTCTATGGAATGGTCCTTGAATGTGAATTCTCTACGCAAAACGAAATCTCCACTGGAAGGTGAGGCACAGAAAGGGCTGGTGGTAGAAGAGCTCTGATTTTAAGACATCTTAGAAACGTCTCACACTAAGCTGATACCAGACTAACCACATCACATCCCTTTTCTCCACCGAGCAGCGCCTTCTGTTGTACTGACGTCATTCACTTCATCATCCAAACCAGAAGCTGCTGACCTCCCCTTCGTCCTTCTCTCATCTGTCACCAGGCTGAGCAGGTTATGTCTACTAAATATGAAATACTTCTCAAGTCCCGCCTTCCCTCTGCTCCCCTGCTGTCCCTCTGTGGGTTCAGGAGCTCACGATCTCGGTCTCCTGAATGTCTCCGGACTGATCTCTCTACCTCTTTTTTCCTCTCTCGGAATCTTCTTCTCCGCACAGCTGGATAAAATCTTGGCAGCTGTGACCACCTCACTTCCCTGTTTCAAGTCTTCCCCTGGCTCTCTGTCCCAAGACCAAGTTCAAGCTCTCTCACAGACAAGGCCCTCAACAACCGGCCTCCCTACTTCTCCAGCTCCATGCTTCCCCTCCCCTGCCTTGAACCTTATATTCTAGCACTTGCCAAACCCTTGTGGATCGCGGCACACGTTGCTTCTTCAACCTCTCTGCTGCTTTTGTTCCCGTGTCCCCTCTGCCTGGAGTTGCCTTCCCTTCATCTAACGCCTACCTGCCCTTTAACACCCAGACTGGGTGTTCTTCTTCTAGAAAGCCTTATTCGGCCCCAGCAAGGAAGGGGCAGATCCTCTAGTGGTCTTTATCATTTATAAATGTTTCCGTTCTGTCTTACTGAGTTATTTTATAATCATCAGTTCATCTGTGTATTATCCATGCGTACTTCTACTGCTCTCTTTCTGTACTGTATCCCTACATGTTTATCATCTTATCATGCCTCATCCTGAGGGCAGACTTTAGATCTTTTATCTTTTTTGTCTTATTTGTATCTAATTTCTCTTTTTATCCTCAGAACCTGGCATAGTGCTTGGCAATCAATCAATGTTTCATGAATGAATGAATGAATGAGAGTTTTTCAGAGAATCTTACTCTAGTCTTAGCAAGTTCACCTGGGAGCATGAATGCCTACACTTAGGGATGGTTGGGGAAGCTGTATCATAGAATTTTTAAAGCTGAAGGGATCTTTGGGATATCTTTGGTCCCATTTGTAGGATAGAAAGTTTAGGCCCAGTGAGGTAAAGTGATTTGCCCAAAATGACACACTATTAAGATGGGCAGTTTCATAGAAAATGAATGCTTGAGGTATTATTCCTGAGGCATTCTACCTTGACGTATTCTACCAAAACCAAAAGATGTATACAAGGATAAATAAATAAAACGGTTTGTGTAACAGTACCTCTAGCATCCTCCCTTTAGAGGTTCGGAGTTCACATTAGTATGTTAAAGATGCCAAGAAGCCCTATGTTAAAGAAATCAGGTAAACTGCTTTAAAGTATTCCCACAAATAACTTGATCATTAAAATACATTTTATGAGATGTTAATGTAAGATGTTGGGTTCTTTGAAAGAAGTAAATTTGGCTTGTGTTCAGTTTTCATACTTTGGATGTGGGTTAAAGAATTAGGGTTGAGGGGCACCTGGGTGGCTCAGTGGGTTAAAGCCTCTGCCTTCAGCTCAGGTCATGGTCCCAGGGTCCTGGGATCGAGCCCCACATTGGGCTTTCTGCCTGCCAGGGAGCCTGCTTCCTCCTGTCTCTCTCTGCATGCCTCTCTGCCTACTTGTGATCTCTGTCTGTTAAATAAATAAATAAAAGCTTTAAAAAAAAAAAAAAAAAGAATCAGGGTTGTACCAGTTTCGAAAGCTCATGGCCATTCTGGGACTAGAGGGTAGACAAGGCAAGAGGGAATGCTAAGGCAGTTACTGCAAATGGAAAAAGATTATGAGGTGTGAGGGAAGAACTGAGTCCTACCATTACCCTCATGGGTCAGGGAATTTGGGCAACTCACTTATCCTCCCTCTCTGAGCCTCAGTTTCCTTACGCATACAATTGGTAGAATACTGACCACACAACCATGTGGTAAGGTTTAAATGAGTTAATATCACTAAACTTGCCCCTAGTTATGGCTGAGTAAATGCTATCTTCTGACCCACCTCATTTGCATAGAAATTGGCCAATGAGTTGTCTGAATTTGTTGGAAGGCATCAGATGAGTTAATTATTAATTCAGCTCAAAGTCAAGCACTTCTAAATCAAATAAAGATCTCTTCCTTCTAGCTTTCTCTGATCTTCAGAGGGCCAAGAGAAGACTATCTAAAACAAGTCTTACATACATACTTGCATAAAATCTTTTATGAATATCATCATACGATGCTACTGTTGGCATTTATGAAGTTCAGCTGTACTAAGTCGTCCATTTTCTCTCCTTTTATTCACTCCTTAAAACTGCTATAGCCTTTTGGAAAAGAATTTTTTAATTCTCTGGAGATAATCTCTTACATGCATGTAGTATTTATAAAATTTCATATATAAGATTTCCAATTTGAGGCATCAAATTCAGCAGCCAATGCGATAGGCTTTATGACTATGACCCGCTGACTATGCATGTGGACATCTTCAAAATTCTTTTGCCAATTCATCTTCTACCAATTCTTTCTTTTTTTTTTACAAACCTACGGGCAAAGATTACAGGTAACCAGAGTGACAGTCCTTGACTCACTGGTTATCCCAAAGGTGAACTGGGAAAACACCAAGATCGCAGCCTAGAAAAGACTGGAAACTAGTCCATTTTAAACTAAGCCTTTGGAAAGCCATATTGAGAATAAGTTTTAAATAAAGTTAAAATAATTAATAATTAAATATATATTTAATGCAATATCTTTACAAATACCAAATATAGAATTAAATATATTTAATAAAATATATCATTATGAATATATTTCATTTATGAATATCAAATATAGAATTATATATAAATAAATAATGGTTTAAAATTAATTAAGCTAATTATTTACAGTTTAAAAATCCGGAGAATACACTGCACGTCCTTGAGAGAGCTGTAACGCATGGCAATTCAAAAAAACTGATATACTGAGAGGATTTTAGTGGCCTTGGGTCTGGGATGGGATGGGATTTGTTAAATGACAACTTAGCCTATTCCAAAGAAAATAGGAGAGAGGAAGCAGGGCACACGTGAGAGCTCATGATCCGGACAAGTGGTTATAAAATGCCTACCGAAAGACTTTACGGGAGAACTTTTCTCCTCCCTCCTCATTTCCTTTCAGGAAGCTCTTCGGTGGGGCACAGCCATTCTAGAGAAGAAATGCAGTTTCAAGAAAACCTTATGAAAGCTGCTGAATAGTGCTTTCTTGAGCCAAAGGGCATCCGCAGGAATCAAAGGGAGGCTATGCGCACAGGCCCAGGAAAGCATGTGCATGGGAGACACGAGGCAGTCCCCAGCAGGGCACCCCCGGTAAGCCGTGCGACCCCCATGCACTGATGGGGGCGCTCCCAGCCCCCTCGAGCACCTGCCGGCTTTGGGGGCCTCCATGGAGCTGCGCTGTCCCGCGTGTTGCCATTTCCTGCTGCAACACCTCCCCGCCCCGCAAACAAAAGAATCTTTGCTTCTCAGCCAGTGGACCCTAGAGGCTGCCTCCACTAGAGATCCTTCTTTCACAGCCCAGTACATCGAGACCCTTCCCTTCCTTTAATATCTGATTTATTTACCATTCATGCCATAGACTGTGTCACTTATTCCCTTGCTTTATGTGGGCTTGTTTGGAACACCTTTGAAGATAGAGAAAATATCTTAATAGGTCTTCTTTATTAAAAATAATAAAAATGTATTGAGCCCTCCCCAGGAACTAAGGCACTGTGTGAGATTTACAAATATCTCATTTACTTTTCACGACTGTCATTAGAGGTAGGTACGATGGCGTTTCGCAGAGCTGGTTTAATTCAACAAGTGCTGAACTAGGTACCTGGTCCTGTTCCAGGCATGTCACTTACTCATCATAACAATCCTAAGAGGTTTGATAAATTATGATGCCTGTTTTACAAAGGAAAGAATGAGGAAGTGTAGACGCAGGAGAAATAGCAGACTAGGTCACGGAGCCTGTGCTGAGCTGTCCGAGGCCGGGACCAGAGGGTGGGATACCAAACTCTGCGCGCTGAGCATGGGGGCTGACCGCTGGTGCACATCGCTCCCAGGAATACACAAGCACCACTTTTTTTTTTTTTTTAATAGGCTCCATGTTGATCGTGGAGCCCAATGTGGGGCTTGAACTCAGGACCCGGAAATCCAGACCTGAGCTGAGATCGAGTCGGTGGCTTAACCCACTGAGCCACCCAGGTGCCCC